CACCCACTCTGCAATCTCTTCTCCATTCTGTCAGGATTTGGGACAGGCATACACATGTGCCCACTGTTTTTTGTTTTTGTTTTTGTTTTTTCCAATCTGCCAGGTCTAGGACTCAAACCAAACAGTTGGCCGTATGGGATCCAGGCAACCATCACACCACCAGCTGGCTAATATAATTCTATTAGAAGTACTACTGTTAACACTGTATTACTTTGTATACAAACAGTGGACATATGAACAATGCATATAAAACATTTATTTCCACTTTCTAATTTAGAATAAGAGTCATAATTTATATAAGAAAATAAAAGAACTATTCTGTAGTCACTAATAGCTCTTTATTTATAACTTAAAATCCTCCCCAATAGCATCTCTTATTTTGCTGGTCACACGTTATCTTTTACATTACTTGCTGAACGTGTGATAAATCAGTATATGATTAATATAGTGACTTTGAATTTTCCTTACCCAAATAAAGAACTTTTCTAAGTTTCATTTTTAAGTGATGAGTTCTATAACAGGAGAACAAATAATCAAGCAAATTCTCTGCAGCAGTAAATATATGTTAACCTAACAATCACTGTGCTTAAAAAAATTAAATTAACTGACTTCTTCTTTTAGTGTAGATTTCTTTTATGTAGATTGTTTAAATAAACAAAATTATTGATTTTAAAGCTTAAGGATTGCTAACTAAACTGAGAATTCTTCAGTTTCATAATCTGGATCCTAAAATCATTAGGGTTTAAAATTCAAGTTTTGCAAAGGAATAAGTGTTTTAGGCACTGGGCCTTATGTGATATATAAAAATTTGTTTTTCTTATTTATTTATTTTTTTTTGAGAGGTTTTTGCCATAGGGCACGTGTGCTCGCCAGAAAGAGACAGAGAGTGAGACATCATCCCCCAGAGGGGATGGCCACACCACAATCCCTTCTCCTCCATTCTCCTCTTGGGATCTTGGGCACGCATGCACAAGCGCCCAGTGTGAGTTTAAGCCACTGAGTCTGGGACTCGAACCACAGTTGACTACATGGGAGTCCAGCAACATAGCCATTACGCCAACTGCTGGTAGTGCTTTTCTATTTTTAAAGAAAAATGACAGCTATGTGTGGGCGGGGATGGGGGGGGCACACACCAAAAGCAAACCAAGAAAACAGAAGAATTTCTAGCAATCAATTAGTACTGGACAAAGAGCTTCTATAACCTGAGAGCATTACTACACTGGAGTACAATTTAATAACTAAAGTTTAATATTGTAATTTTCAATCAATGATCTCTTACATAAAACTATGCTTATCAAGGTGGGAAAATGTGAGATAATACTAAGAACAATTTCCCTTGGGTCAGTAGGTGACGTGAAAGTTAAGGCACTAGATCCTATATGGCCAGCTTCATAGTTCGGGTCCCAGAACCCCTCTCCCCCATGAGAATCAGGTGGGGCACATGTGTGTGCATGCCTGAGAGGAGAGTGGAAGAGAGGGGATTGTGGCATGGTCATTCCCACTGAGGGTTGACTTCTCAATTTCTCTCTCTCTGGTAAGACATGCCCTAGAGAAAAAAAAAAAAAATTCCCTCAAACGGACTTGTAATCTCTCTACTTTGAGTAGAACTAGTTGTCTCTAGTCATAAAACATATTTCTTTTACATGTATTTTTCAAAATCATTTCTAAATTTTAAAATACCAATTTTAATACTGAAGTAAAAAATGTCTTCAAGGAAAATGGATACATACAACAATGGAAAAGATTAGCTATTTGACCATCTACTCTGTGAATTATGGCCTCTGACTCTGATAAAAGATTCCTAGGTTTTACTAAATAGTAATTTTTAAATGGCAGCGTATTAGGATACTTGACATACTAATAGAAGCTCCTTGAAGAGTTGACGAAACTCAGCATAATATACTGTATTACACAGACTGGACAGAAGTCTAATTCTTAATTACCTGGCAAAACGTCATCCACATAATGCTATCTTCTGAAGAATTTAAGAGTTCACTGTGATTTTTTTTAAAATAATATTTACCAAAATTTGATTTCCTTTATTTTAAGTCTTAATAGATTTAAAAAGGTGTAAAATTCACCACCAGTATTTTATCAGTTCCCTTATCAAGAAAAAGAAAGCAATTCAAAGCAAATTCTGTTTTGTTTTGTTTTTAGGTTTTTGCTACAGGGTACACATGCACTGGTTGGGGAGAAACATAGAGAGACACAGAGGGGAAAAAAGTGAGAAATCATCCTCCCGAGGGTGATAGTCATGCCATAGTCCCTTCACCATTCTCCTCTTGGGTATTTGGGCATGCACACAACATGATCCCAGAGTGATTTTCAAGTCACTGTGTTGGGGACTTGAACCACTGTCAACAACATGCAAGTCCAGCACCTTAACCACCAGGCCACCTGCTGGCCCCCCGATTTTGTATTTTTAAATCTTTCCTGATTATTTTCTTATCAAACAAATTTATTTCTGCAACAAAAGTATATTAAACATCTACTATAAGCTAAATATTGTTGAAGATGGGGGAATACAGCAGTAATGCAGACCAAAAAAACTTTCTTCTTAGAATTTATGTTCAACGAAAGAGCGGGCAACAGACGAGAATGTAAAAAATATATGTAGTATGTTATACGGCAGTAAGTACTGAAGAAAAAAACAAAGGCAGAGAAAGAGGACTAGAAGTAGCAAAGAGAAAATACTCAATTTTAATTATAGTAATGAAAGAAAAAAGCTCATTGATAAAGATAGTATTTTAGCAAAGACCTAAAGGAAATGAAGGAGAGCTATGAGGATAACTGGTGGAAGAACATTCCAGGCAGTGGCAACAGCATATGCCAAGGCTCAAGTAAAATTGTGTCTTCTGTATTCACAGACTAGAAGGGAGGCTAGTGTAGCTGGGCCAGTGACCAAGGGATATACTGTAATAAGAAATGAGGTCAGAGAAATAATCTGGGATAAGGGCATGCCCAGAGCCTTCCTTGTAAGTCATCTGTAAAGATTTGGTTTTCATTATGAGAGGTCTACAGAAGCTTTTGAGGAGAAGTGATATGCTCTGACATGCTCTTTACAAGGATCATTCTGGCTGCTAACTGGACAGCAGATAAAAGGGAGATAGATTCAAAGTAGGCAAATTAAATGGTTACAATAATAGAGTAAAGATGGCTTGGAGCAGTGCAGTAGCAATAGGAGAGGTGCAAAATATAATGAGAGAAATGACAGTGATTTGTTTAGAATTAGGTGGGGAATTAGAGAAAAAGAGAAATCAAGGACAACTATCAAGCATACCCTGAAAAAGCGTAGGGTTTAAACGACCAGCAACTGAGAGAAGGAAGACTGGTAGAGAACAGGCTTGGTGTAAAGGGGCAGCTGCAAATGTCTACACGGAGTTAATTATCATTAATAGCAGTCAGGAGTCCTAGGAAGTAGATCGGAATGTCAGTAAATAAAAATCTGGGATATCGTAAGAGTGCCCAAATTGAGCCTTGCGATTTAAATGATTATTATTATAACATATTAAGGCTAAGATTTACAAGTAAAATCTCACACAAAATTGTACAACAGAAACAAAAAGTAAATACTCCGTAAGTAAATACATTTTAAACACACGTTTCTTTGGCTTATCCTCTCCTGGAAGGAAGACTAATAATATACTAATATTTAATCTCATCTAGATTTCTATCAATGCATTGTTATTACAAACAGAGCTAGGCATATACCCACTCTAAGAGTCTTACCAGTCATGCAAAAAAAAAATTATGTGAGTCTCTACAAAGGGACATCAACAAGTTCACGGAAATGAAACTATAGTATGTTTATTTTCATGCAAAAAAAATTTTAGATCCATGTATAGGTTTTTCATAATATGCATTTTTTACAAACTTTTTGAAGATCCTTCCTATCTTATGCCAGGCACTGCACTAACAGTTGAGTATACAGTGGTGAATAAAGCAAACACAATTTGCCTTATTGTAAGGCTAGATAATAAGTAAAGAAATGAGCACACAACTACAAATTGTGGTGAATGGTATCAGAAAATAAAGGAGCTATTCTTGGATTGAATGATCATATAAGAATTGAGACCATAATATTCAAGAAAGCATATAATTTCTTTAAAATCTCTATTTAGTTTTGGATTTAAAATAAAAATCTTAACTATCATATAAGTGTAATACAAACCTTCATTTTTCAAGGTGCTCTTTGTTTTCTCAATTTTCCACTTGTTGAACATGAATATTACTACTACCTTGCAGTCCGTAGGGAGATACTCAAAACATTTTACACAAATTTTTAAAAAATAAGCATTTCATTGGTATTTTATTATTGATAACCACACCAAGGAAAATACATTTTAACTCTCTATATTTCGTCAATGTTCATATTTATACTCAGTCAAATTAACAGTTCACAGTAAGACAAATAGAATATGAAGAATCTAAGTTATTATTGGTGTTAAGGATTGACAGTTAAGATACATCTTTAATTTTATTTCATTCAGACACTTTCAGTAGCACTCCCACTTAACCTCTCACAACCCAATATGGCACAGTCTCCAGATGAGTGGCAAACAACGTTATTTAACAAAGCAAGTTATCACAGTTTACAACCCATTTTACCTATCAGACAACTGTGTGCTAATTGACATTAAAAAAAAAAAAGTCACTGTTTGTTCTTGGTATAAAGACGAATGAATCCAGAAAAGCATACTATCTGTAAAAGGAATTTTTTAATACTATTTTACTAAAAAAAAAAAAATCTATGTTTATAGATATTTAAATTTATATAACTTGACACAGACATTTGACATTTCTCTGAGTAAGGACATGTAACCTTACATGTGTATTTCTAGGGTAGTTTTACATATCCATTTTGAGCTATTTAGAAAACCTCACACTGAGGAATATAAATCTTTACAATTAAAAACTACTGCCAAAGATCATAATATGATTATAATTGTTACTATAAAAATATTTTAAATAACCCATTTTGCAAGTAGACAGTAACTTACCTGAAATGTAGATGATCTTCTGATCACTTCTTTGACCAAGGGAATTGGACACTTTGCAGACATAAACCCCAGAATAATTGAAAGTCAGTGGATGGACAAAATGAAGAGTATTGTCTGAAGCCAATAATCCATCAGGCCACTGTCCATCCAACCTGGATTTTAAAGAGAATGAAATCATTGTAAATATCGTCAGACTATTTTCTGACAACTAAATATAGACATTACACTTTTGAGATATTAGTAAAAGAATGAGTACTTTTCAGACACAGTTCTCTATGAAATAAAATCATATAAAAATAATGGACCCTGGGACCAGCAGTTGGCGTAATGGCTATGTCACTGGACTCTCATGTAGTTGACTGCGGTTTGAGTCCTGGACTCGGTGGCTTAAACTCACACCAGGGGTGTGTACATGTGTGCCCAAGATCCCAAAAGGAGAATGGAAGAGAAGGGATTGCGGCGTGGACTCCACCCCCAACCCCCTCCGGGGGAGCTGATTTCTCACTTTCTGTCTCTCTCTGGTGAGCACACATGCCCTATAGCAAAAATCTATCAAAAAAAAAAAAAAAAAAAGGACCCAGCAATGATGGTGAACAGGTACCACCAACGCCTGGGGAGCTAGAAACCACATGGGAGGTCCTGGTTTATTTTCCAGGCCAACCTGAACATGTTGGCACAACAGTGAATGCCTATAATCCTTGCTAATTGATAGGCTGGCCATGACGATCACAATACAGCAAGATCCTGTCGAAAGTATCTATCTCTATCTCTTTACCTTTTCCTCTCTCTCTCCCCATCTCTCTCTCATAATTAGGAGGATGGAGGAGGACAAGCATGAATTTTCATTTTAAAAAAAGTAAACTAAGGAAAAATAAACTACTAAGACAAAGTTAATTAAGAACACTGATTTTGAGGACTGGCTGGTGGCATGACAGAGGACTCTGGACTCTCATGGAGCCAACCACAGTTCAAGTCCCAGACCTGGCACATGCTTACTCACTTTCCCTCTCCCTATCTCTGTCTCTCTGATCAAATTTTTTAAAAATAATAATAAATAAAATTAAATAAACAGTCCTTAATAAAAATCAAAAGCACTCATTCTGGGCCAGACAGGTTAACGTGGTAGTTAAGGCAGCTGAATCTCACATGGCTGACTATGCAGTTGGGAGTCCTGACCTGGCAGCATGAAAAACACAACAGGTACATGTGCGTGAGTGCCCAGACTCAGAGGAGAATGCAGAAGGGACTGTGGTGAAGTCATTTCCCTTGAGGAATGATCTACTTTCCCTATTTTTCTCCATTTGCCCTAGAGCAAATTAAAATAAAATAAAATAAAATAACACTCATTCTTTCAAAATACAATCCAATGAAGTGTAGCTAGGCCAACATAAAATTAAATGGGAGGGCAGAGTAAAAAAGTGACTTTCAAATACTATATTCGGAAAACTGAAAAATATAAAAATATACTATTTGAAGACATACCCACAGTATAAAAGGAATTAAAATTCTCAGTCAAATAGTCTCCTCATAATATATCTATACTTTTCTTAATGAAAAGTCATCTCATACAAATACATAGTTTTTCAGTAACTTCTATATTTATGGAGTATCAATTAATACTAACACAAACCTATACTGTGCTCCACCAAAAGACAGTTTCTAAAGGAACAAGTAGGTGCTCATTATAAAATAATTTTATTTGTAAAGTGGGCATCTGTGATGATAAAAAATAAAAACCAAGACACCATTTGGCATTAATAGTAGTTCTTTTTTAAAACTGTGTGTAGGAACCAGCAGATGGCCAATTGGTTATATTGTGAGACTGGGAGTCAACCACCGTTTGGGTCCCAGACCAGTGGCTTAAAACTCATGCTATGTGCAAGTTTGTGTGTGCCCAAAATCCCGAGTGGAGAATGGAGGAGAAAGGACTGTGGCATGACCAACCCCCCTGGGGAATGATTTCTTGCTTTCTCTCTGAGTCTCCAGAGAGCACATGTACCCTATAGCTAAAATCTCTACCTGCCAAAAAAACAAAAACAAAAACAAAAAAACAAAAAACCTGTGTGTACACTGGGATCAGCAGATGTGCAATGGTTACTTCACTGGACCATTACATGGCTGTTGCAAGTAGACAGTAACTTACCTGAAATGTAGATGATCTTCTGATCACTTCTTTGACCAAGGGAATTGGACACTTTGCAGACCTAAACCCCAGCAAGACATAAACCCCAGAATAATTGAAAGTCAGTGGATGGACAAAATGAAGAGTATTGTCTGAAGCCAATAATCCATCAGGCCACTGTCCATCCAACCTGGATTTTAAAGAGAATGAAATCATTGTAAATATCGTCAGACTATTTTCTGACAACTAAATATAGACATTACACTTTTGAGATATTAGTAAAAGAATGAGTACTTTTCAGACACAGTTCTCTATGAAATAAAATCATATAAAAATAATGGACCCTGGGACCAGCAGTTGGCGTAATGGCTATGTCACTGGACTCTCATGTAGTTGACTGCGGTTTGAGTCCTGGACTCGGTGGCTTAAACTCACACCAGGGGTGTGTACATGTGTGCCCAAGATCCCAAAAGGAGAATGGAAGAGAAGGGATTGCGGCGTGGACTCCACCCCCAACCCCCTCCGGGGGAGCTGATTTCTCACTTTCTGTCTCTCTCTGGTGAGCACACATGCCCTATAGCAAAAATCTATCAAAAAAAAAAAAAAAAAAAGGACCCAGCAATGATGGTGAACAGGTACCACCAACGCCTGGGGAGCTAGAAACCACATGGGAGGTCCTGGTTTATTTTCCAGGCCAACCTGAACATGTTGGCACAACAGTGAATGCCTATAATCCTTGCTAATTGATAGGCTGGCCATGACGATCACAATACAGCAAGATCCTGTCGAAAGTATCTATCTCTATCTCTTTACCTTTTCCTCTCTCTCTCCCCATCTCTCTCTCATAATTAGGAGGATGGAGGAGGACAAGCATGAATTTTCATTTTAAAAAAAGTAAACTAAGGAAAAATAAACTACTAAGACAAAGTTAATTAAGAACACTGATTTTGAGGACTGGCTGGTGGCATGACAGAGGACTCTGGACTCTCATGGAGCCAACCACAGTTCAAGTCCCAGACCTGGCACATGCTTACTCACTTTCCCTCTCCCTATCTCTGTCTCTCTGATCAAATTTTTTAAAAATAATAATAAATAAAATTAAATAAACAGTCCTTAATAAAAATCAAAAGCACTCATTCTGGGCCAGACAGGTTAACGTGGTAGTTAAGGCAGCTGAATCTCACATGGCTGACTATGCAGTTGGGAGTCCTGACCTGGCAGCATGAAAAACACAACAGGTACATGTGCGTGAGTGCCCAGACTCAGAGGAGAATGCAGAAGGGACTGTGGTGAAGTCATTTCCCTTGAGGAATGATCTACTTTCCCTATTTTTCTCCATTTGCCCTAGAGCAAATTAAAATAAAATAAAATAAAATAACACTCATTCTTTCAAAATACAATCCAATGAAGTGTAGCTAGGCCAACATAAAATTAAATGGGAGGGCAGAGTAAAAAAGTGACTTTCAAATACTATATTCGGAAAACTGAAAAATATAAAAATATACTATTTGAAGACATACCCACAGTATAAAAGGAATTAAAATTCTCAGTCAAATAGTCTCCTCATAATATATCTATACTTTTCTTAATGAAAAGTCATCTCATACAAATACATAGTTTTTCAGTAACTTCTATATTTATGGAGTATCAATTAATACTAACACAAACCTATACTGTGCTCCACCAAAAGACAGTTTCTAAAGGAACAAGTAGGTGCTCATTATAAAATAATTTTATTTGTAAAGTGGGCATCTGTGATGATAAAAAATAAAAACCAAGACACCATTTGGCATTAATAGTAGTTCTTTTTTAAAACTGTGTGTAGGAACCAGCAGATGGCCAATTGGTTATATTGTGAGACTGGGAGTCAACCACCGTTTGGGTCCCAGACCAGTGGCTTAAAACTCATGCTATGTGCAAGTTTGTGTGTGCCCAAAATCCCGAGTGGAGAATGGAGGAGAAAGGACTGTGGCATGACCAACCCCCCTGGGGAATGATTTCTTGCTTTCTCTCTGAGTCTCCAGAGAGCACATGTACCCTATAGCTAAAATCTCTACCTGCCAAAAAAACAAAAACAAAAACAAAAAAACAAAAAACCTGTGTGTACACTGGGATCAGCAGATGTGCAATGGTTACTTCACTGGACCATTACATGGCTGACTAAAGTTTCAGTCCTGGACCTGGCTGCCTGAAACTCACACTGGGCGCATGAGCACATGTGCCAGAAATCCTGAGAGACTGGAGGAGAAGGGATTGTGACATGGCCATCCCCACCTGATGTCTTGCTTTCTGTCTCTCTGGTGAGCACACAAGCCCTATAACAAAAAACAAACAAACAAAAACTTTGAAAAAAAAATCAAACAAACAAAAACCTGTGTATACTAATTTGGCTAAGAGGTCTTATTCTTAGTGTACACATTATTCTAAACCATATTAAGACCCACTATAAGAACTCTAAAGCAGTTTGTTGCAATAGAATTAAGTATACTAAGTTAAAAATCACTTTCCCAGACAGCCATAGTAGTGCAGTGATAATGCAATGCTCCACAATGCTGAGTCTATACAAGAAGGCCCTAAGTTCTCGTTCTCATCCCTGCATCCACCAAGCACACATGCACCCATGATCCTAGTGGCTGAGGCTAAGGATTACATCACACCATAAAGACCCCAGTGGAGTGCCTGTCTCTCCTCTTCACTCTCCAACTCTGTAGCTCATGGAAGAAATAAAAACTTCTTTCTATCTATCTATCTATCTATCTATCTATCTATCTATCTATCTATCTATGCTATTGATGTTATTTTTTGGTACCTATAGGTTTAAAAAGTGATTTTTTTAAAAGTTTATTTATTTCACCCATGAGAGTGGAGAATCTGATAGTGCAACACCCCCAAATCGTGTATGATCCACTTGCCACTTCAGTCAGTCCTGGGTTTTAGGCACATACACACCAAGAGTTCCCAGGGCAGTCTCTGGATGTGAACTCAGAGCCTTCCCACATGAGTCAGCTTCCCAGAATGTCACATCTTACC